CCCCCCGCACACTCACTCCCACACATACACTCACCCACTCGCTCCCACACAAATACACTCATACTCTCACACTCCCCCCCACTCACACTCCCACACAAACATTCTCACACTCACTCCCACACACATATACTCTCACACACTCCCCCCCACTCACTCCCACACAAATAGACTCACACACGCCCCCCCCACCCCATGCTCCGAACAGGCCCGGGTCCCAGCTAAGTGAAACAGGAGGAGGGCGATCACTCTGGCCTTATTTCTGGAGACAGGCAACTTGCGTGGTTCGATTTTATTAGGTGCCACACTTTCATGCCTTTCCTCTGAAGAAACAGCGCACTAAAACCAACAGCACTAGAGCACCTGACTGACCCGGGCCCTCCCGCGCCGGGTGCTGTGTCAGTCACTTGAACCCCCCAACACACCTGGGGGCCCTACCTCACCGTGAGCACGAGGCCCTGCGGGCATGGCCCTTTTCTACGTCTAGAGAGGGGGTGAGGGTGGAGCTGGGATTGGAACAAGGGCCAAGTGACTCAAAAGAGCACCCACCATCTAAGTGTTACCTGTCCCCCTTCCCTCTCCCACTGCCACAGAGTGGAGGGGGTACCCCAGCGGGGAGACGGGAGCACGCTCACTCCCAGGCTGCCCCCCTCCTTTCTCTCCTGCCGCCTTAGTTCTCAGGAGGGCGGCTTTCCCCCACCCGCTTCCACCCTTTCAGTTGCTAGTTCATTCGCCTCATGTATTTGCCAGGCAGCTTTCCCTGTTCGAGTTCTCAGACTAGGTTGTTTCATGGGGGCAAAAACTCAAATAGAAAAAATACACCTGAAGGGAGGTACATTTTCTTTAAGATTGAAAAATTAAAAGCATCTGATTCTCCATCACTCGGGACCTGATCCCAGGATAAGGGACAACATATAAGAAAAACGCACAAGTCAAAAAAAATAGCATCAAGTTCCTTAAAAACAGTCTTGACAATGAATGAACTAAAGTTTCTTAGTCAAATATCATTTGCCTTGTTAATGAGAAACGAGAGCTGTAGCTCTTTTATTTTACATCACTTACTGCCAGGAAGGTTGGGGCAAAATAAATGGCAAAGCTCATTTCTTGTCCATTTTAAATTCTAGGAAAAGGTTATAAAAAACTGGCAACCGGAGAGTAGCCCACTGAGTGACATCTGAGGAAAGGAGCTCAGACATTTGGAAACCACAGCAACTGGGCTCTAAGAAGTGGACTCCAGATGCTCACGCATATGGCCCGCAGGTGGGATCCTGTCCCTGGCGCTCGGGGGGTTTCAGTCTCCTGCACACCCCAGCCAGGGAGAATCCTGCTGCTCACCCATGGGAGCCGGTTTGAAGGACTCGCTTTCTCAGCAAACATTCCCCCTCTGCCCTGCGCCTTACAAAAAATCCTTTCACACACCGTCCATGCAGCAGGGGCGGGAAGGCAGAGCCCTGAGGATCCCAGAGACAGAAACAGGACAGAGAGGCAGCAGGCAGAAGCGAAGTATGTTTTTGTGTCTAATAAAAATACAACATTCTTTAAAAATTTTAATTCTAAATGTAATGCATCATTATAAAAAGTCAGATCATAAATGCATACTTTAAAAGTAATGCTAGGATAAGCACTAGGGCCAGTGATGTTCTTTTTTCTTGATTAGGTGGGTGTTTCCAACGGTGAGAACTGAGTGGTATACGGACATGGGTGAATACTTGGATATTACATATGCACATATATATCTAATATACCTGTTTACTATACTCAATTAAAAGCAAAAACAAATGACTCGGGAAAGAAGGCAAAATGATGCAGACAAAAGAAATTAAACAGTCTGTCTGGCCTGGGACAGCCATGGGCACCCAAGCAAAGGTGTGGCCCAGGCGGCTTTCTCGTTTGTCTCAGTTATTACTTTCTCACATGACCCCTTACTCTGGTTGTTCTGCAACTGCTAAAGACTTACAACCTTTTCTTCCCTCAGGAGACTGTAAGTTCTTGAGGGCTACGGAATATGCATTCCGTACTATTTAACATGTCTCAGGAGACCTGGAACTGTGTGAGGAACATAGCAGGTGTTCAATAAACATGAAGTGTGTGTGGGGGGAGAGTCACTTCATGCTCTGATCCTGCTCCCTTGAGAACCACCCCACAGAGATCTCCCTCCTTCCAGATATCTACGCATCCATGAACACACGTATAAAAACAACAGCCGAAAGGACGCGAGTACCTGTTTTGTTTGGAGTGGAGAACCCGAAGCCTTGGGATGCCACACTTCCTCCTCCAGAGCTGAAGGTGCCAGCAGGCTTCTGCTCTCCAAATGACGAGCTGGTGAAGCCACCAAATGTCTTGGCTCCACTGTTTCCAAACAGGTTAGAGGTATCTGAAGAGATGAAAGTCGGGTGAGGGAGACCAGAGAAAGAGAAATGTCCTAAGTGCTTCTCAGAACAGAGGACCTCAGCTGGGTGTTCTGGGAGAGGGAGTGAGTGACAAGGGAGTTGAGGATTCAGGGAGCTGAGCTGAAGAGCAAGGGACACCTTCTTCGATTTGCATGTGTCCGTAAGGACAGTATTCAGGCACTTTGGTGTCCAGGCTCGGGATTTCCCAAGCAATTCTACAGAAACTCAACTGCATTCCCAAAGGCGTCCGCATGTCCACTGACGAGGGCCCACGGTGAGTCACGCCACACTGCTTTTTCCGAAGAATGGGGCTGTTTCCACCCATCTCCTCCTAAGACCGGCTTCAGGTTGTGTCAAACCAGACAGAGTAACATCAGAGCAAATCCACACCAAGCACAGTGGCTCCGGTCTCTGCTTTTACAGTCATAGTCAAGTCTGGCATGCTGGCTGCTGCCTGGTCTGCTCAGAGATCGGCAGACAAACACCACGGGGTTCCTAGCTGTGATCTGACAGGAGCCAGGGACGTTCTGAGAATGGAAAGGAGGCCAGCAAGACTTCAGTCTGATTTCCCCCTTCTAGAGGTTCAATGAAGCTCCTGACCTCTCAGATGGGTACCTAGTGGATCACTCCTTCAAATACGCACTGAACTGCTCCAACAGTGAAAGGAAACCAACTGCTAAAACCAAGATGGTGATAAGCACCTGATCATTTCCCCACCGTGTGGACCTGTTTCATTAAAATGGGCTTGTATGCAGAGAAGGCAGAGAGAAGCCATCCTGAAATGGGGTCGGTGCCCAGACAGAGGCCCAGACAGGAGGCTGAAAGGGTAAGCGCCGTGTGGGGAAAGGAGAGCTGACTCTATGCCCCAGTGAGAAGTACAAACACCTGCACAGGGCCAGGCTTCCCCAGCCAGGCGCTCACGGTGAAGGTGACGGGGGGAGGGGTGGAGAGGAGCCACTCACTCTCAACGTCAAGCTGTCTAAAGAGGTGGGCCACCAATAACCTGTCAATCCAAGGCCCCCATGCTGCCGATCCCACCCACGAGATGCGGCTGTTAATACTTCAGTCGTAAGGAAGTGAACACCCTCTCCCCAGGGACACGACTGCCTCAAATTCCCAGGCACCAATAACAGAGCAACAGAGTCACCTGCTCTCTGAAACTACTGCTGACAGTTTGAGAGCTTGGCTGTGAGTGTGCCAGGCCCGACAGCGGGAGAGGTTAACCCTCCTGTAGGGCACATAGGACTGTCTGTCTCCTGGGGGAGTGCCCTGAACAGTCTGAGCTTTCCCTTGATGAGCTGGTGGGAGGGCACCTCTGACCCCTTCGATGGCAGTCCACTTAGGCTTCTCAGCCATTCCTCTCCCTTGGCAGTTCAAGAACTGCGGGCTGCAATTTTCTGACTCAGTGCTCATTATGTAAAATTGCAAAGAGTAAACAAATAAATTCACATAAAAGTTTTAGCCCTAAACTATACCTCCTCTTGGAGAAATAAAAAATACAGAGGGGACATGACTTACTGGGACAGAGTGGGAAGACTTACACTCCCGAGGCTAGAGACCACTTGGGGAGCCTCTGGCTCCTTTAGGCTCTTTTTAATCCTCGAGGGTATTTTTCCACTGCTTTTCAGAGAGCGCGGAAGGGAGAGAGAGGAACACCGATGCAAGAGACACATCGATCGATTGCCTCCTGCACCCCAACCAGGACCGGGGATCGAGCCTGCAAGCGAGGTACGTGCTCTTGGCCGGAATCGAACCCAGGACCGTTCAGTCCACAGCCCAATGCTCTAACCACTGAGAAAACCGGCAGGGCTATCCCTTAAGAATCCTTTGTCTTTAAGATGTTCACAGCACATAGTAATGGAACAAGCAGGAGTTTTGCTTTCAGACCTGACTCAGTACCTCACAGCGTGATGCTGGGCAAGGACTGAGCCCACTGGGCCCGTCCCGCACACAGGAAGTGGGACAGCAGCTGTGGCCACGCAGAGCCGCCGCTGGGCAAGGACTGAGCCCGCTGGGCCCATCCCGCACACAGGAAGTGGGACGGCAGCTGTGGCCACGCAGAGCCGCCGCGTGAGCGTGGAGACCTTGTCAGGCACAAGCTAGGTCCTCAGGAAACACCGCTTCCTCTGCCTCTAACTCTTCCTCCTCCCACGTCCCATCGTGCTCGATGTAATAAAACACAGAGCATGTCAGCTGCAGCACACTAAATCCTTCCCACCCTGCGAAGATCAGGAGAATTAAAGCATTCGAGTCTTAGGAGCTGTTGTTTGCAGTCTCTCAAGGAGCCCAACACACGGAATTGTTTCAGGAGCTATTTACGCTGCTCTGAAACTGGCAGAAAGAGAGGTCTGCTTGTTTCTGTGGTAAACGTGCTTCTTGGTGTCCCCTATGGCTCCTAAATAATGGTCTCTAGTTCTCAGAAATGTGGTAAAGAAGAGAATCTCTTGGTTGTTGGGACAATGTTTCACTGTAGAAGATTCCTGCCAGTAAGAAAACTGGTCTCCGACGACCTCCTCTGGGGACAGTGCAGGTGAAGCTGGCGCCTGCTCGGGCCCCGCCCTGCCGGCACACCGACCCTCGCTGGCCTTTCCTTTGGCAAGAATACTATCACCGCAGGGACCCCGTGCCACTCTGCAGGTCTCAAGTCCCCAAAGGAGGACTCGGCAAGTGCTGAGAAAGGGATTCTCAAGAGGCACCTACCCAGGACACCTTTCAGGACATTTTCTTAAAAAAAAGTTGAAGAGGGAGATTCTCATCAAAGAGCTTTTCCATCCTCACACACGTGTCTTTCAAGCGCCTGGGTGGGAGGAAATGTGCTGAGGAAGGTTCCAGCCCGTGTCTTCAGACAAGGCTTGGGAGGCAGGCGGTCCTTGCAGGCAACAGGTCACTGTGGTGCCTGATCTAAATGACCCAGGGGTTACAGGGTCTTGACAGTGCCTCTGCGGAAGACGGAAGCAGCCTTTACAGAGTGAGCCTCTGCCTGCGGCACTTGCAGCTTTTTTCCCGGTCATTGCGTAGTTCCAGCCCCCCTCAGGGCTGGCCCTAAATGTCACAGAGGGAACTGCGGGCTGCTCAATTTGTGCTCAGATATGTGCCTGCAGGGGGAATGTGTGACGTCATGAGGACAAACATGGGGCTGCCACATACGCACACCGGGGAGGCCAGGAAAATCTAAGGAGGCAACATGGTGGAGCAGAGCTCAGGAGACACCCAGATAAACTCTGGCTATGCCACTTAATGGCTGTTACCCCACAAGTCCACGTCCCTCCTCTGCCCTTATCAGTAAAACAGGGACGGCCACATCTAAAAGTGCTGCTGTTGGAAGTGATCAGACTACGTGTACTGAGCATCCAGTACTCAGTAGGTGATCCATAATAGCTACCTACCTTCTGCTCCATGTCTCATTGAGGAACAGAACACAGGGCTGCAGGATTCAGACGAGAAATCACGTGGGCCCACGTGACCCTGAGGCCACACTGCAGAGGCAGAGAATCACATCCACCCTTAGGGGGTGGTGTGGGGGGAGCAGTGTGAGCACCGGCATGAAGTGGTGAGACTGTGCTAGGGGAACTGAGTCAAAGTCAGAAAAGCATGTTGGGGCCCTGGCCAGTAGCTCAGCTGGTTAGCGTCACGCCCATACACCACGGTTGCAGGTTGGATCTCCCTCAGGGCACATAAATGAAGCAACCAATGAATGCACGGGTGGGTGGGACAGTAAGTCAATCTCCCTACCCGTCTCTCTCTCAAAAAATAGAGGGGGAAAAAGAAAAAAGAAAAGCATGCTGGGCCTGCTCACGGAGGGCCCCAAATTTCAGCATAAGGAGTTAGATTTTACGCTATAGTCAGCTGGAAGCTGACAAAAGGTTCTGAGTAGGGATAGTGGCAAAATAAGAGTATTAAGCTGCTCACTTTGGTGTGGATTTCCAGACTCCCGTGGGGGAGACTGGAGGCTGCTGTAATACCCAGATGGCGATGGGGAACACATCCCAGTGACAGAAAAGGGAAGGGACTGCTGAGAGGCAGGAAGAGGGCCTGGACTGCCAGTCCACACAGCCCAGGAGAGGGGTGGTGCTCGGGTATCGAATGCTGCAGTCACCCAAGGAGAGAGGCGACCCTGGCGACCTGCAGAAAGCATTCTCAGCTCTGTGGCCAGGTGACTTCCAGCTCTTCCTTCTCCATCATTCCTTCCTCCTATCCTGCACTCGGTCCTTGGGGCTACAGAGGGCCATCCCTATCACCATCAAATCATATATTTAGTTTTTAAAAACAAAAAACTGTTAAGTCTTTCCTGCATCTTTTCAGATGCACTTAAACTTCCCTGAGGCATAAATGTGAACTGCTGGGTAACAGCTGCTTGGGTGAGGGGGATGGATGAAAGCCTGCAGGTGTCTGGTATCAGGAATAGAGATGCTCATTTTACACAGGAAGTAACGAATTAGAAACAAGGGCCGGACAGTGACCAACAGGTGTGTGGGGGGGCAGCACTGTCCGATTCGCAGGGTGTAAATGAACACGCCCTGCCATCGCTGAACGGGGAGCTGGGAGAGGTGTGCACAGCAGGCTCTCCCGAGCCAGCGCCAGCCCACCAACGAGAGAAAGCAATTCTCTGACAGGTAAGAGCCATGGCATTAGAGAGGAATCAGCCAGAAGGAAAGCAATTTTTACAAGGATATGACCCACCTAAGTTTTGTCAACTAGGCTCGCACCCCAATCTCGCAGGTGATGACCAACCCAGGGGGCAAACTCTCATTTCTAACCAGCATGCTATCAAGCGCCTGTTCTGTGCCAGAGGCTGGCTGGCACGCTGTATAAGTTGCGGCTGAATTCCAGATCTGCCACTTCCTGGCTCTGTGACTTAAAGAAACCACGACACCACTCTGCTGTTCATTACTGGAAAACGGAGTGTGCTGTGCAGGACCACGTTTCCACAGTGTGTGCGTGGAACCCTCAGTTCTGGGCTGACAGCTGGGAAGGTGGGGAAACCACCCAGGTGTGGCTCTGGTTCTGGCCCCTGCTTCTGAGTAACCTATTTTTATCTGCTTTGCAAATCAGGCTTCTGCTTGAGTTCATCCCAGAAACAGTTTTTGAAGACGACTAGGCTCAACCTCTAGGAGCCCTCATTCTAGGATTCTAAATTCCCCCTGGCTGACTGAAGGCTGAAGAACGAAATTTCTGATGACACGTTACAAGCGAAGACTTAGTGTCTCTTGACCATGATCTCTCTTTTTATATCACTAGGCCCACAGTGACATCAAAGAACAGATCTGTGAATCTGGGAGACTCAGGAGGGAGTTTTGCTTTTAGTGATGAGCTAACGCAGCACTAAGGAAACACCTGCCCTGCCCACAGGGCATGAGCTCTTGATGCTCTCAGGTCCTGTACAGCACACAGATGAAGACTCGCTGTGCAAAGTATTATATGAGAGAGGCTAAGACAGAGATGACAGGTTTCCAACTTCCCATCTCAGCCCCATCGGCAGCAGGATATATATTATATTTAAAGGTATAAACAAATAAATTTCATTTCCAACCATGAAGAGACAGCTCAATAAAGTACTTTAAAGATTAGCTGGAGGAGAAAGTGTCAGCAGAAGGGTACGGCTTCGTCTGAGATAAGGCAGAAAAGTTAAGACATGAGACATAATGAGGGTTTCAACCTCTGAGTGACACTTCTTGGCAGCAGCTGGATTTTAAAGGCAAGTCAGGGAGAGCACGACACAAGCGAAGACCCAGCTCCCCAAGCACGCCTGGCAGCCTGCCTGCTGGTATTCACCCCAAGTCATTCTATCCAACTCATTTCAACCCTCTCCCTGCAGCTCTGATGTCTTCCCATGATTACAGTGGACATGTTGTTAAAAAACCAAAAATAAAAAACAAAATCAAAACAGAATGCACTGCTTTGGGGTAGATACTTCCCACTTATCTTAGGCAAAAGGCCGAGAAGTGAAGGGGTAGATGACGTTTTGTTTTTTAATCCTCACCCGAGGATATTCTTTCCCTTGCTTTTCAAAGGGAGTAGAAGAGAGAGACAGAGAGAGAAACACTGATGTGAGAGAGAGAGAGAGAGATCGGGTGGCCGCCTCCTGCGTGTGCCGACTGGGGCGGGGGATTGGGCCTGCAACCGAGGCACATGCCCTTGGCCAGAATCAAACCTGGGACCCTTCAGTCCTCGGGCCGATGCCCTAACCACTGAGCCAAACTGGCCAGGTGGGGTAGATATTTTAAATGGCCCTTCTCGACCTTTCCATTCCATACCTGTGACCACGGTGTTAACACCAGGAGGATGGCACTGGTGTTTGGGGGGGTGCCGGGACTGGGGAAACTTTCTCCACTTACTTGGGGTGGCTGTGGATCCGAAGCCCCCGCTGGCCGAGCTGAATGGGTTTTTGTTGGCTGCATCCTGGCTGGGTTTCCCTCCGAGGCCACTGAAGAAACCGCCCCCTCGTCCAGTGCTTCCAGACCCGAACACCCCACCGCTGGACGATGGCTGCTACAAAATAAACGGGGCAGAAGGCAGAGAGGCTGAGAGGTCAGTGTGACAGGAGGTGCTCATAGCTGGCACAAACGGAAGAGCAGCAGCGGTCTGATCAGTCCTGGCATGGATGCCCTCTCACCAACGGAGCACCCGGGCTCCGCACAGGGCCTTCCTACACGTCGAAGCCCTCAGCTTTGTTCATGGTCCCCCGAAAGCCGACTTACAGTGCGTGGGAACTTGAAAGGTCTCTCTGCCCTGCGGCCTTCGGTCTCTGCCGACACGGTGCCAGAGGCAAGGACACCAACCCCTCTGGAGTTCCCCTCGAGGAGAAGTAGAAACATTTCTACGTTGTCGTGAACACCTCTACTTTTGATTCCTCCCGTGTCTGGCTGAGCTCATCAGCATCCGCTGCTGAGTGACTCAGGCCGCCTTTCCTCCCTATGTGCACTTTTACTTCATACTGTGAAGACTTTCCAGGTGAGGCAGAGACAAGCTTAAATTAGCCCCGTTATTGAAATGACGACCACAGCAGAATCTGTCCAAGCCCGCAGGTCTTACGCTCGGAGGATGCTGCCACATGGGCGCGATGACTCAAAGTTGCCAGGCGTCACACTGCATTTCTGTCCGGAAATTGGTTCGAGAAGGAGGACCACTACTAGAACTGCGGGGCCATTAATATCAGAGGTAAGTGCAAGCTACCTCTTTGGCCGAGAGTGTGGAATAAGATGGGCTCCTAGAAGTGGGAAGCTATGTCTCAGAACCTTTCAGGGGCCCCTTCAAAGGGGGGCAGAGTGGTGGTGAAGTCCCTCCTCTGTAAAATGGGGACAATAAACTCCCCATCTTGGAATGCCGGGGAAGGAGATGAGCTAGGAAGAGCAGTGCGCTTTGGAACAGTGCTGGGATATATAATCACATGCTCAGAAAACAGCTGCCGTTTGGTACGCTGACGACGATGGACCACTGACGGAGACCTTTCTATGTGGCGGGCACTTTCTTAAGCACTTTAACATCACTTAATCCTGACAAAATTCACACTGCCAGGGGCCACCTCAGAAACATCGTCCAGTGTGTTCCTTCCTCTGCAGGTGCACGGCCAGTACCCTGGTCTAAGCCCCAACCTGGACTCTCCTATGTAGCCAATGCTCAACTTCCAGGACAACCTGTGCTCAAGTGGCTAGAACAATACCTTAAAGTGGCAGTCAGATCACTCCACTCCTGCTAAAAACTCCATCCGAGACCCTGCACGATCTGGCCCCAGCCTACACCATCTTTATCACCCCCTCGGTACAGTCACACCACTCTTTTGTACCCAGAACACAGCACGCTAATTTTTACCCTAGGGCAATGTACTTAGTGTACCTGCATGTCTCTCACTTTTTCTTAAACTTAAGGAAGGCATGCAGGAAATACCAGCTTCTTCAGCCGACTTCCACGCATCACGCCGAGATCATGGAAACTGCCAATATATGGCCATTTCTGCCCTTCAAAAAATAGCAATTTTTGACAGTTTGACCTAATTTTTTCTTTTAAACCCTCACCTGAGGTAATGTTTTAGAGGGAGACAGAAACGCCAAGCTTCATTCTAGATAATTTCTGTTGACATATCAAGTCCCCTGTTCTTCTGTAGTACTCACTCTGCTGTTAACCTGTCTAATCATTTATTTCAGATACTAGACGTAAACTCCAGATACAGACCACAACTTGCAATTTGCTTCTGTAATTCCCACTTGTCTGCTGAGGTTCCTAGTCAACCATTCCTTTATTTTCTCATAAATCCTGGAGTGCAACAGTTATTTTAAAGTCTCTGCCTGAGAGTTCCAATTGTCTGGATCACCTGGATCACTGTTTTTGGTATTTCTAAAATATGACCGTCCCCTTTTATTGTTGCTTCCTCCTATGTTACACAGTTACTTGGGTGGGGTATACTGGTCTTTGTATATAAGAGAACAGCTGTGTGGTGACTGAAGAACATACACCTGATGTTTCTTTCTGGAGAGTGGAAGCCCCCTTTCATCTGTGCCCTAACGTGAGAAGGCAACCATTCAGATTTCACTACGTGTCGGACTGACAGGGACTGAGTCCCACCCCTGGCTGGCCCCACACTGTTTTTGCTCAGGGTTCAGGTCATCTGTCCCATTCTGTGTTTGAGCCTGGTGCCAGGAGGCAGTGGGGCTGCAGCATTGGGACCCAACAGTTCCAGGCAACAGGAGATGGCAAGATGGCCAGTTCTTTCGTTTTCCAGTCCTGCCCTTACTTCCTTTTTCTCAGCAAAGGTGGGGAGGGGTGGGCAGGGGTCCTCACACTGCACAGATCGCTGTTGTCCCTGCTCGTCTTTCACACCCCAATTTGTTTGTGTGCTTTTTAAACAGTTCTATTGGGATATCATTCATAGACCACACAACTCACTGATTTAAAGTACAAAATTCAATGGTTTTGGTATATTACATTATTAAGTTTTAAAAATTGTGGCATGGCTCAGCGTTTGTGCATCAACCTAGGATCCAGGAGATCGCGGTTGGATTCCCGTCAGGGCACATGCAGGGCTGTGCGCTCGATCCCCAGTCGGGGGCGTGCAGGAGGCAGCCAATCCATGACTCTCTCATCACTGATGTTTCTATCTCTCTGTCTCCCTCTCCCTTCCTCTCTCTGAAATTGATATATTTTTAAAAGTAAAAATAAAAAATTGTGTTTATATATGTGTGTGTATATATATGTATACATATATATACATAAAACATAAAACTTGCCATTTTAACCATTTTATACAACCAGGGGCATTAATTACAGTCACGATGTTCTGCAACCATCACCACGACCAAAATCCTGTAACCATAAGCGACAACTCCCTTGTTCCCTCTGCCCCCACCATGGCCGCTGGTCATCTCAAATCTAGTTTTTGGCTTTATGAATTTACCTACTCTTTTTCTGTTTTGAAAATAATTTTTATCTCCATGTTTATTTTTTATCGTGGTAAATGTACGTGATGTAAAACCATGTGAAGAGTGCAGGTCGCTGGCGTTACGTACACTCAGGGTTGTGCAACCCCCGCCACTCTTCCTACAACTTTTCTTTGTCTCAAACAAAAATTCTATGCTCAGAACACTGTCTCCACCTGCGCAGCCACTTTTAAATGACTGTTTCTGAATTGGCCTAAATGTCCTATGAGTTGAATCCTACAACATATGTTCTTTTACACGGGACTTATTTTAATTAGGATCACGTATTTAAGGTCTGTCCACATGTACGTGAACCGGAACGTCATCCCGTCTGAAGGCTGGATTGAATTCCACTGTGTGCATATAGGCCGTACTCTGTCTATCCAGCCACCTGCGATGGACGCCTGGGCGGCCTCTACCTTTGGCACCGTGAATCACACGGCCACGCACACTGGCGCGTGAGCGTCTGCCCGAGGCCCTGCCGTCAGTGCCTCTGGGCATACACCAACAGCGTGTGCTCGGTGCCTGGCTTCTTTCACCGACGCTGCCCGCGGGCCCCACCACCGTTTCGCACAGGAGCAGGACGCTTACTGCTCTCCAGCTCACAGTCTAAAGACACCACAGGGGCCCCGCCCATCTCCAGCTTCGAAGCATCTGGGTTGTTTCCTGTTTAGCTCTTATGAATATACTACCATGAACATTCTAATCCACGTGCTCTGAACAAAGGCACTCGTTCCTATTGGTTCCACATCTAGAAGTGGATTTGCTGGACCAACAGGGACTTTGTGTGTCTAACTGTGACACTACCAAACGGTTTTCAAAGGGGAATCCCCCTTACCAGTAGGCGGTGTTCCCAGCATTCTCTGTCCTCACCAACGCTGGGCACTGTCAGGCCTTTCAATTCTAGCCATTTTGGTGGCGGTGCAGTTACCTTTTCTTTCAGATTTGTATTGTTTATATATTATTTTACGTTAACACACATATTTACCTGGCCAAAGAGTGTCCCACCAGTACTGGCTGCTTGGCCAAACAAAGAACCAGTGTTACTGGAACCAAAACCTATAAAATAAAAAAACAAAAGTTTAAATTGGAAGAGTCTTTTTCAACATCAAAGTGGTTTGTTTCTTTAAATGGCTTTCAGATATGCTAAGATACCCAACAATATATCAACCCATGAATAAAACCTGTCTTCCTATCTAGGAAACAGAGAAAATTATGAGTAAATAAAGATCTTTTTGCATTGCTAACACTTTATAAGAGTATAAATTCCAAAGTCCCAAGGGCTGAATCCTGCTCCTACCACACCCTGGGGACAGGGACCAGGGTGGTACCTCTCAGAGCAGCTGTCTTCTAGAATCAGCTGCCAAGAAGTCTGTCCAATGACAGAATATTATGAACATTTCTACACCCCGGTTTGCTCTAACCTCAAAGACCAGATTCTTTCAGGTAGTTTATCTTTTTTTAACCCAGCACAATGTGGCTGAGGTGCTGGGCTGAGCAGGGCTGGGGAGACCAGGCAGAGCTGCATGTTGTAACAGGAGCCAGGGATGGAACCTGCAACCAAGGTATGTGCCCTTGACTGGGAATTGAACCCGCAACCCTCTGGTGCGTAAGCAGACGGACGCTCTAACCACCGAGGTGCCAGCCAGGCCAGTTCCCTTCTCAACTTTGTGGAGTGCGTTTTCCCTTTTTTCTCTTAGTTACAAAAGTAATTCCGGTTTGTTGCAAATGTTTCAACAATAACACAGAGGGGAACAAGGTAAAAATCTTCCATAAATTCTTACCTGACGCTTGACAAAAGCTGAACCCAGAGGATGATGCTGTTGTGGTGGCGGCCGAGGTGCCACCGAACACAGAGCTTCCCTGCCCAAAGCCAGGGCTCTGCCCAAAGGCAGGCGGGTTGCTCTGGCCAAACACTCCCGTGCCTGTGCCAGCAGAAGACTGACCAAACGAGAAAGAGCTGGAGCTACTGGCGCTGGAGGAGGTACCAAAGACATTCCCACTGGTGGACGTGGCAGGGGGGGACACGGACTGGCCGAAGGCGGACCCAGAGCTGAAGCCAGGCTGGCTGAAGGAGAAGCCACTCGCCGGGCTGCTCGTCGACTGCCCGAAGGCAGGGGCCTGTCCGAAGGCCGTCTGCCCGAAGACCCCCGCGGCCGAGGTGCCGAAGGCAGGACTGCCGAACCCCGCGCTGCTGGCCTGTGGCGTGGCGGTTGCCGTGCTTGCTATGCTGCCCGTCTGCTGCCCGAACAGGCTTGGAGCCGTGCTGGCCGCCACCTGCCCAAACACAGGGGTGGCCGAGGGCGCGGTGGCTGTGCTGCTGGTGAGCTGGCTGAAAGCTGAGCTAGAACTGGCAGCAGGTGGCTGAGTGAAGACGGAGGAGCCAGAAGTGACAGTCCCAAACACCACCACATCTGCAGCGGGGCTCGGAGCAGCACTGGGACTGGTGCTGGAGGTGGCGGGGGGTCCTGGCGTTTCTGCAGCCACAGGGCCTATACCCGCGGCTGCCGTGACGGCAGTCTGCCCGGGCACCGAGAGGGAGGCAGCAGGAGGTACCGGTTCTGTCTTGACGTCAGGGACCCCGGTGGCTGCTGGTGTGGCCTCTGCAGGGGGTGCCAAGAGACTGGTACTTGGTACCACGGCACCGGGGCTGCCGACTGTGGGCTGGGCAGGAGCAGGCTCTTTCTTAACGGGGTCAGAAGTTTGCAGAGGAGCCTGGGGAAGCAGCGCTGACTGCTGGGGCCCCAGAAGTGAGGCTCCCGGTGCTGAGACTTCACTGGTGCCTGGCTTCTCAGGCAAAGAGGGTGACGTTGCTTCCTCTGTGCTTTTAGCAGAGGACACAGGGAGCGTGGGAGCAGATGTTGAGCTCAGGAGGCCACCAAACGACAACATGGGGAACGAGGTGGGAAGGGGAGTGGCAGTGGTGGCTGCCGGTGGGGCAGATGGGGTCACTGTGCTGTTCGTCTGCTGACTTCCAAATGACAAACTAGTCTTGCTGCCACTCAGAGATAGCCCACCAAAGCCAATGACCCCAGGGGACCCTGCGCTGGTGAGGGGCAGTCCGCCAAAGACACCAGTCGAGGCACCGCTGGTGCTAGTGCTGGCTGCTGGCACACCCGTGGTGGTGGTCACAGCGGAGGTCGCAGGAGGCTCCACAGGCTTCCCCAGCACAGGAGGGCTAGCAAAGCTAAACCCTGTGGGGACGAGGGAAGTCCTGGCTGGCGGGGCACTGCCCAGGCTAGTGGGGGGAGCCTTACTGGCGGCCTTTGTGGCATCATCTGTTTGGCCGACCCGCAGTCCTGAGAAACTCCCTAGAGTCTCGCCGGCCAAAGAACTTGGAAACAGGAGCTCCCCCGACTTGGCTGGCGGAGTCTCCAGCTTGCTGGTGGGGCTGGAGAGCGCAACTCCGGCAGGTGCTGCAGGCCTGCTGCCCGACAGGGCCGGCTCTCCTGGAGGGACACTGGTGGCTCCAGTGGAGCTAGATGCGGCTGTCACTGCTGAGGGAGCCAAGCTTTCAGGAATGGTCTCAGGTAAAGGTTTGCCTGCCCCGCCGAACGAGAATGTGTCAGGCTGGCTGGGCTCTTTAGCAGGGGGTGTTGCCCCTAGTGAGACAAAGAAATTAGAAGGTGGGTTGATTTAGCAGAACATGACCTGTCACACCTCCACTGCCTGTTTCTAAGCCAGTCTCCCCCCTTGATGCGGTCAGAGGTGGCTGGTTCCAGCAGCCTTCTGTGGGGAGGACAGTGAACGCTTCTCCACAGGAACATTAGGGGTCTGTGTCACCTCAGTGGGGTGAAAAGCACAGCTATCTTTTTTATGGTCATTAAATCACAACAAATACATCATGTCTAGAACACATGAAAATAATGTATTTTCCCAAAAGAGAAGCAAAAAGGCATCTTCCCTACTTTCCCCTGGCGTGTGCTTTCTGCGAGAACATTCCCGGCATAGGGCTGGCTGCGGGCCGGCCTGTTCCAGTGGAGAGCAGAGCAAGACTTGGCAGCAGCAACACATCTGCACACTGCACAGACCCCTGCACGTGTCTGGGGGACGCAAAGGTCATGCTGTGCAACAGAGACTGTACCTTGTGTGGCAGTGAAAGTAGAAGATGGCGTTGGTGTGATTATCCCGAAATTAAAGCCAGTCCTAGGGAGTGGAGAGGAGAGGTTAGAAAGGAAGGGAGCTGAGGCACAACACTCCCCTCTGGTGCTACAGTCTGCTCTCCAGGGACTTGGAAGCGAGTAGATAAACAACAGAGTTTATCCCTCGCATCTGCGAAACAGTAAAGCTGTCCCAAGGTCCCTAAGCTGGGAGAGCCATCTGTGGGGGAGGCAGGAGGGGAGCAGCAGTAGAGAAGGCCCTGGAGGGGCAGCTGGCACAGGTCTGGGTGGGGACCAAGTCCAAGGACGACAGAGGAGGGGAAGCGCACAGGGATGGGCACGTGGGGATGGTGGTAAGAGCACATGGCCCACGAGTGAGGAGGCGAGACAGGCTGATGAGGGAGGACCTCCTGTAACCCGCCCGAGTGTCACAGAGCACCGTGGGGAGCCCCCGCCCCCGGGGAGGTGATGGGGAGCCTGAAATGGAAGCCACTGTCAGCCGTGGGTCTGGGCTGGGAGAATGTGGGTCAAAACCTCTTCTGACCCCTTCGACCTCCTCTCTCCTACGCCTTTTCTTTCCACTGCGAGTGCAGACACCACAGCCCAGGAGGGAGCCAGAACAGACTACTCATTGTGATAAAAGCTCAAACAGCAAATTCACATCAGTCTAGTTTTAAAATATACGGCACCAAGCGTATCAAATGCAATAAGCAACGTAAGAATTTAGGGTTTTTTTTAACCCATCATGGCCTTCATCAAATGGTGTGTTAAACATTTTATTATATTTAAGAAAACCGCTTTTTCTCTGTCTCAACCTTAGTGAAGAAATTTTATAGAATAGAAAGGTAGTAAGCTGCTGACCCAAACCTTTTTAGCTTATTTTAAAATGGGAAGGAGATTAGTTCCCAGGAGTAAAGATTAATCAGCGTTTAAAAGATGCACTAATACTGGCACCGACCTCCTCTTTAAAGTTTGCTCCAAACCATCTTTGTAAAGTATAAAACATAATGATTCACCGTAAAGAGAAAATAACATAGTATATAATTCCCCCACCCAAATTCTGTTCTAACACCCTCTTTTCTCTTAACGTGTTAGGCCTGGGAAATGCTCAAGTACATTAACATCAGAGAAGAGTGCGGCCAGTATGATCCAGTTATAAAAGCACTGCCGGGAGGACTGAAGAGGCTTCTCTAAGGAGCTGAATGTACCACCTTCACCGCGGGTCTATCTCAGCCAGAGTCTAACTCCACCTCCGGAGGGAGAGGGCACCTGGGCAGCTTTCAGAGGATTCAATGTGAGCCCTCTCTCCCTGAGGCTAAGTCACTGCCTCCTCTCAGAAATTTAGCATGTTGACCCCTCCGTGCACTAAAGCCAATCCAAAGGTCACAGCTAGTCCTCAGATGGTGCCAGCATGAAGAGAGCTCAGCACGATAGACTGGGACCAGCAACAGAATTTGACACAGACCCACTACCCAAAGAAAATGAGGCTCATCCTAAAAAACAAAACAAGTAATATGTACTAACACGTATCGAATTGAAAAGGGGAAATAAGATTTGCATCAGGACAGCAAGCTACTGCCACTTGCATCAGATAATTCGTCTAGCGGTAAGTCTGGGCTTGTGCACATTTTACAAGCATCGCACTGATTAAGATTTTAAGTGATCTGCCACAAATTTTAAGTTTATTACTGACCCTGATGAAGAAAACGAGAAAGGCTTGCTGAACTGCCCAGCAGCAGGTGGGGTGGAAGTCACAGCGGTTTCTGTCTTTGTTGCCCCCGGCCCTGAAATTAGGGGAAAAATAAGAACATCACAAGCCAGTTAAACACAGTTCCAATCAGTATTCCTGCGGCGGCGGCTGTGTGGTGCACATGCGCCTAGGTCACACGCACGGTCCCTGCTGCCCTTCAGCTCTGTCAATGTCAATTCCAAACCAAGACCACCAAAATCTCCTTTCCGGGAAAGAGATCAAAATAATTCTACTGCAGTTAAAATTTAAAGCTTTAAAAGTAGCTTTATAATTATTGAAAAGTAATATATACGGAAGGGAAAAAGTCCAAAAGAAATGGGTTATAGTAACTAAATATCTCCGAGTAGTGACTTCACGGTGATTTGTTTTCTCTCTCCATTTCTGTATTTTCCATAGGAGTATTTTTTTATTTAACAAATTATAGCTCCCCTTCTTTAAATTACGGCGGTTACACACAATGGCTGTGATAGAAGTGCGGGAAGTTACAAGGGCAGCCTGTCATCCTCCCCACAGTGGATCTCGGCAACTGCTTGTCAACAGTCGCGGTATTATCCTGTCTTTCCCCAGTTACTCTGGTTTTAAAGGGGGAGGGAATGAGAAAACTACATTTAGAAAAGCCCAAACCAAACCACAAAAAAACGACTACCTTCTTCTTAAGTGAGTATGGGGTAAACATTAGGAAGTTATTTTTAAACTATTGTAAGCGCGGTGTGGACAAGGACTCTGCAGCCCTGCTTACAATCGAGAGCCACTCAGCAGCTCTGGCTCGGGGTGGAGCTGGCGAAACGTTCCGGGAGGGGAGCTGCAGCAGCTCTGCAAAGGGGCAGGGTATTTACTGCAAGGGGGGGAGGAACGGCCACAGACCATACAGATGGGATAGGACTACTTTTGTTTAAAAAGCCAACAAAGAAGTAACCCGAGAGAGACACATCAGATCGCTGAGGGTTATCACCTCTGGAACGTGGACCTTACCGGACAGCTTCCACTCGCCACACTATCCATCTCTACACCACAGGCTCTCTTGTAGGCCTGTAATGCTTTTATAAGCAGAAAAACAACGAAGGTATTCCCATTATTAATAAGAGAACTAGTCTATAGAGGTTTCAGATAGCCTTTTTCTTTTTTTAAAGAAAATTTTGGCAAATTATTAAATAGTATTTCTCAGGAAAACTTTCCTACTCCCCCGAGAGTCCTTTTCTTTTGATTAGCCAGCAAGTGGACACAGAAGTGAACACCTAGTGAGGAAAGAATATTTCAGGTGCCACAAGGCGATCCATCTCAAACGCTTCTCTGTGCATCATGCTAAGTGTGTGAGACGCGCCGAAGCTTGCAAGGTCCCTTAGTTTCCTTCACTCTGCACCTGAGTAGTAAAAGGAGCTACAGTGACGCTTCTGAAAGAAGTTAGGATATGATCTTTCAAACTTTTTTCTAAAATATCAGCCAGAAATGGAAACAGGTTTCTTAATCTGAACCCTACATGATTTAAGTCTTGGACAATTCCACTAAAATGTTCCTCTAACAGGAAGTGCTACACACCTCCCTCTCCTGGGGGGGACACACTGTAACATCTGTGGTCAGCATTAACCTGCATTCCAGAATACAACTCTGGCTAACACAAGAATGGTTTTTCTTCTGAGTCCAACGACTATTTAGTGAAGATAAACCCAATACCCAACAGAAAGCTCTGACTACAGAGAAGTCAGGTGAGTGTATGACCAAGGAGACTGTGGAGAGCAGGTTGCTACCGTGTGCAGTGCAGCATCTCTAAGAGAATCAGCCTGAAGACCCATGAAAACATGGGTCACAATCAAGGCCAGAGTCCAAAGTCTGGTGAGAACACAGGACTGCAGGCGGCACAAGATCACTGCCGCAGAAAGTGGGAGGCAGAAGCCAACCAAAGGGGCTGCTGAGGAAGACCGCACAGTGAAATCTGGCTGTAAGTAAAAGCATTCTCCTGCTTCAGGCTCCCTTGGGCAACGTGGATGCCTGGTCAAAGGCCTGTGGTAAAACCGACTTTAGTAAATAATCATGCTGGAGTGAGTGCTGAAAGTATGTGAAGTCAACAAATCTTTAACACTGGCATTACATCTACCTCAAATCTCACACTGTAAGACATGTTGCTTTCTGTATTAACTGGTTTTGAATTGTCACTGTGATCCAAGAGAGTTTTTATTCCTTTTAGTAGAAGGAACAGAGCCCAATGTTCCTTCTGATCCACTCCTCTCTGACCTGATCCTCCGCAAGGCAGGTGAAGACACACGACTGCTCCTTTTAGGGAAACATTTAAAGGAAGGTTCGCCTACTGCCCTCCAATTGCAGAAGCTGGCAGAGCTGCTGAAGGCTAATTTCCTGGCGAATCTTCACCAACCAGAGCATTTGGAATCTCTCTCTACTTGGCTTCCTGTGTCGACTGACTGTGATCTAGAACATGACCCTATGCTGGAGCAGTTCTTTCACCTTTATTTCCACCAAAACAAAGATGCAAACTGACCTGAAGCTTTATCACCAGATGACGATTGGCCGGAGGCTGATGTGGGCCCAGACAGCTTTAGGGAATTTATGAGCGATCCCTATGAGAGAACACAAGCAGGACGTGTGTGTGAAACCACTAACTGTCCTCTGGAATAAAGGAACATGTAAAATGATAACATAGCTTATAACAAACAAACATAAACATATTTATTTAGTTTAATATTTTTTTAAAAGTTTCAAGTTAAGCATGTATTTTTAAATGCTTGCCATATTTGGTAGATGAATGAATGGAACAGTAAATGAGTGGAATGGGTTCTGATTCTCAATAAGTTTACAGTAAAATGAAAAAGTGAAACTGTTCGACTTGTCTCCACCTCCAGCCAATGCTTCTTTAGTCCTGTTCATTACGACTGGTGCCTTACCCTGTGTCCTCCAAGGTGGACACGGAAACTTCCAGAAGGACCAAATGCTAAATGCTTGAATGCCATTGTAAGTCACAGCAAAGAAGGACCAGAGAGCCATGCTTGAGGACACACAATAGGCAGGTCCTGGTGCTCAATCTCAAGCACAACCTGGCATCGCTTTTCTCAGGGAGGATGAGTGGCAGAGAAACCAGGCTTCTCAGGGACAGGCACAGCAACAGCCTGAGCTCCCTTCCAGCCAGCTTCTTTTATTTAACTGTGGACAACATAGCCTACTTTTGCAGGAGACAGCGTTTATCAGGCAAAAACCTGGAAGCAGACATAACAAACATCACTGAATAGGCAAGCTCTGAAACAGACTGCAGGAGAGAGCGAGAGGACCTCTCCGCCAGGCATGGGCACTGAAAGGTACAATGAGAAAAGCGACAGCGGGAAGAAGCTCGAAGGCATGGGGCCCAGCTCTGGGCCGCCATTCGCTAACCGTGGGCGCCTCCCTCGGTCACGAGCCTCGGCTTCTCCATGAGTGGAACCTATCTGTACACCTGTCCTGTCACTGAATGTGGCTGCTGCGTGGGTTAGCTAAGGTAACGTCAAATGAAAGTAACTGCAAATCCATATACCCCATAAATGTAAAATACTGGACTGTGGCCCACAATTACTAAAACTGTTCAACTTGTCTCCATCTCCAGCCAAGCGGCCTAGGAGAGAACGCCAGGTCCTGACCAGCCTGCTACATCAAGACTGGCATAAACTGTGGGGCAAGGATCACAGGTCTCTGCCAGACTTACAGCTCATTTAAAACAAAGTGAGGACTCCAGACAGTATCGCCTCAGTTACACTGCGTGACTCTCAACACAGAGAAAACAGTAATTACCTGCTTGGCCTGGTTACTGGCAGCCACGGGGGTCAGCACCGGGGGAGGTGTTCTGGCTGCAGAGTGCGACGCGGGGGAACTGAAAGACATAAAGCAAACCCTCAGGAGAAAGGCACATCCATCCTTCTGCCAACCTTCAGGCCAATTCATAACATCAACTTGGGGCAGCATACGGATGTCTGGATGCTCACCAAAGTCACTGGACATTTCCCAGATTGAAGAATAAGTTCTTTAAGTGAAATTTCGGTCTTTAACATAAGTCAAAGCAGTAACCTTAACACTTATTTTCTTCCTGCAATTCTAAAAAAAGTTCTAACTAGTCAGAGCAGCTCTTTTCCTACCTGGAGAGTAAGCCCTCCCCACTGAGACCCCACACCCAGTTCCAGACCACATGGGGAATTCCCAATTCTGCTTCCAAGCCTGAGAATACGTGCTTGGGATCTATGAGATGCACAGGATCTGCCGCCACATGTGGCTCAAAGGGGTTACCCAAGAAGAGAGCTCAGCTTCTCTGGAACCACCCCAGGAGCCCAGTGCTCACCAGGTCGGCACATGAGATTCGCACCACCACTGCTCCAGGCCCAACCCTCACCTTCACTACAGAAAGAGAAGCCTGCCCACTGTTTATAGAAGAGCTCTCACCATCTTTCATTAACCCTCACCAGGATATGCAGGAAACTGTGATTTCAATAATCATTTAAGAGTTAACATGTGAGAAAAACCCCCACCAGTTGAATGCAATCACAGATGGAAACTCTACTGGTGGCTCTTGGGAGCAATTTTTTCAATTAATTTATGAGTTCTCAGTCTTGACCTACTTTGGTACGTACAGCAGTAGTAGCTATAGGATCTGGTGTTGTTTTTCAGAACCCTCCCTAAAGTTAGGATCAATATCTTTCCATCAAAAAATTAACTTGGAAGCCCTGACTGGGCAGCTCAGTTGGTTAGAGTGTCGAGCAGATTGGCCAAGGTTGCAGGGTTGACCCACAGAAAAAAATGAACCAGTCTTATAAGCATCTCCAGATTCTCTGTTGGGATAACACAGGAAGCTTCCTAAACAAACTATTGGACTGAGAGAGAAGAAATAATGGAGTTATTTTCAATGAAACAAAAACCCCTTTATTTTTCTGCTGAAGACAAAAGCTATATATGGTGTCTCTCTGAAGAAACACATCCGTGCTCCCCTGAGATACTCTACAAGAGGTACACAGGTACATCACTCGCCTCACCTCTGCTGAATCTCCAGCAGAGAGAAGGAATGTGTGGGTGAGATCGCTGGGACTGAGGGATCCCAGAGTAGACACAGCTGACTTGGGCAGAGATGGTTTGAGCTCATGAGAATCCCAAGGGAAATGAAAATCTTCCATGCTAACGCAAAGAAAAGCAAAAACAGAAACTAGAAAGAAAAAACAAAAGCAGCAAGTTAATCCAATTTTGGAACCTTTTTTCCCACTCAAAATTTAGTTCTGACATGATGGTATATTAAATCAGGCGTGAAACAGACTATCATTACTGTCCTATTTACTTGTGCTAATGCTATAAACCTCTTGGGGATCCTAAGTCCCCAAACATTCAAAATTAGGACCCACGGTACCCACACACTGGGCCACGTGACAGCCCTGCAGAGAAATGCTGTTCAGGGTAACCAGCTAATGAACCAAGTCGGATCCACCATGATCCAGGAGCAAACAGAAAAGAGTAACATGCTAGTTATAAAAATTAACTCAAAGGATCAAAGACCTAAATGTCAGAGCTAAAACTATAAAACTTAGAAGAAAACATAAGTGTAAATCTTTTTAACTTTGGTTTAGGCAACTGTCTCTTAAATGTGATACCTAAACCACAAGCAAAAAGCAAAAGCAAACTAAATTTCATCAAAATTAAAAATTCATGTTCCAAAGGACACCATCAAGCAAGTACCCGCCCCCCCGCAAAGAATGGGAGAACATACTTGCAAACCATATACCCGATAAGGGACTTGAATCTAGACTATACGAGGACTCTTACACCTTAACAATTTAGAAAAACAACCCAATAAAAAAATGGGCAAACTCTTTGGCCGGGTGGCTCAACTGGTTGGAGCACTCCCATACGCCGAAAGGAGGCAGGTTTGATTCCTGGTCAGGGCACACACCCAGGCTGCAGGTTCAGTCTCCAGTTGGGGCACATACTGGAGGCAACCAATCGATGTCTGTCTCAAGTCAATAAAGACATATCCTCAAGTGAGGATTAATAAAATAAAAGAATGGGAAAAGGATCTAACTAGGCATTCTACCAAAGAAGATACCAATGGCCAGTGAGCACACTCAGATGCCCGAAATCGTCACGTGTTAGGGAAACGCACGCCGAGACCACAGGGAGCCCTGGCGGTGCTATCTGGGCAGCGTCCCCCTGCACACACAGCAAAAGGCTGCGGCCTCTACTCCCGCACAGCAGGTAACCGAGCGATGTTTCTCTTTGTCTCCCTTCCTCTCTCTCTAAAATCAATACAAACACACCCTTGAGTGAGGATTAAAAATAATAAATAAATAACAATAAAGCCCACAGTGAAACCATTTAACATCCACCAGGATGGCTAATCATCAAAACGAGGGACAGTGACAAATGCTGGTGAGGGTGCGGAGAAACTGGAACCTTCCCCGTTGTTGCTGGGGAGGTAAAACGGTGCAGCCAGTTTGTGAAACAGTCAGAACTATGTTTAGCTCAAAAAGCTAAACAGAAATACTGCACAATCTAGAAGTTCCATTCCTGAAACATTACCCAAAATAACTAAAAGCAGGGTTCAAACGGACACTTGCACAGCAATGTTCACTGCACCATACTACTCACAACAGCCAGAGGGGAGCCACCGTGCCCACAGACAGGTAAGGGGGGGACGCGCATACAATGGAATGAAACTGAATATGCTACAACATGAAGGAATTTTGAAAGTCCAAGTGAAATGAGCCAGACACAAAAGGACAAATAACTGTACGACTTCACTTATATGAGGTTCTTGCAATAGGCAAATTATTAGAGACAGAAAGTAGACTGATGTTACCAGGGGCTGGGGGGAGGGGGAGTGGACAGTGACTGTTTAGTGGGGACACAGTTCTGGTCGGGATAATGACAACATTCTGGAAATAGTTGTGAGGGTTACACGCCACCACATGTACTTAATGTTAAAACACTGTTCAAGCTAAGAACAAACAAACCAATAAACTAATCATATTACTCAACTGCTCAAAAAACATCCAACAGTCAGTCAGCCGGGCCCTGAGCAGGCCTGCTCGCTGGGCCGAGGTGAGCCCCACCGCCCGCCCTTGCCCGGCCTCACCGTCAGTGCTCTTTTCTCCCTCCAGCCACAGTGGGCACCTGGCTCTTTCCTGAACCTGCCAGACACGCTCCCACTACAGGCCCTGAGCCTGGAGCTTGTTTCCTTAGGATATTCATGAGACCTGCTAGCCTTTTGGTCTTTACCTAAATGTCAAGTGTCAAAAGCCACCGACAGGCAGGATATTACGTAAGACAGAAAAACCCAGCCTGATAGTGAAACAAACACGGTCTGGTACTCCTGAGACCCTTGGCCCCCTATTTATAGCCGCAACCCATCCCAACAACAGTCCCTAGACCCCTTTCCTACTTTTCTTTTCTCCATCAGACCCATCACCATCTAAAACACTATATATCTTCTATTTTTATTAAATTTTTTGTTGTCAATCCTTACCCAAGCATATTTTTTTCCATTGGTTTTTAGAGAGTAGAAAGGAGGAAGGTGGTGGTAGAGAGACAGACAGACACCGACGTGAGAGAGACACATCGATGTGCCTCCCCCCTACACCCTGATCAGGGCTGGGAACTGAACCTGCAACCCAGGGACATGTCCTTGACTGGGAATCGAACCCGAGACCCTTGTGCGAGGCTGATGCCCTAACCACGGAGCCACACTGGCCAGGCCCACTATATGTTTTACTGGTTTATCTCACTCACATCTGCCTCTCCCTTACCAGGGCAGGGTTGGTTTTCTGGTCTGTTCTGTTAACTGCTTTATCCCCAGTCCTCGAACAATGAGTATGTGGCGCTGAGAAGATGCTTGTTAAGCATTTGTTGGAAAAATGAGTAAATGAACAAGACTCCGGAAAGGAATGACATGGCCGGTGTGTTTTGGTAACCAACAAACCCCAAATCCACCTCATCCAGCCCCTTTCTTCC